CCTCCATCAGCCATGTGTCCAACATGGCCGTTGGTTGGTCCTCCATCAGCCATGTGTCCAACATGGCCGTTGGTTGGGCCTCCATCAGCCATGTGTCCAACATGGCCGTTGGTTGGGCCTCCATCAGCCATGTGTCCAACATGGCCGTTGGTTGGGCCTCCATCAGCCATTTTAATAACACAGCCGTTGGGGACGTCTACATGTAGCTGATCAGTCTCGTCGGGAGTCTCTGTTCTGTCGCGTTGGGGTGCGTCTGTGGAAACGAACATGTTTATGTGTGGATGATTGTCAGGCTGCACATGTAACCACATTTCCTGACAACCCTCCCTGTTTCATTAGGTCAGGACGTGGTGACGTCAGCGATCAATCCTCTTAACGGTGCATCTCTACAGACATGACTCACACAGAAAGACTTCTAACTTCAGCTACAACACATTTCTAAGATGTATTCTGTTACTTAGACCTACATTGTGTGAAAGCCATGCCAAGGTTTCTCCTGCATCGGTTAACTTTTGGCGCCTGTCTAAGATGTTTCAGCGCCAACAGGCAGGAATTCAAACATTTTCTGACCTGTTACTATTTGAACCAGAGACTTCAGAGATAGATGCAGCTTTAATGCATTTTGAAATCGATGATCTACGTTCACTTAACACCAGGCGTGTTGCTGCGTGTCCTGGATCAGGCTGACAGCAGTGTGCTCTTTAAACGTACCTTGCCGACGTCTTCGAATGAAGAACCTGACAATGAAGACCACGACTACAGTCAGAATAATTCCAATAAGGACCCCGAGTCCGAGCATGCTGTCCGGTGAAAAGACTTGATCCGTCGGTTTGCATTCTTCAAACATTTTCCCTGAAACGTGACAAACAGTCAGACTGCACCAGCGTGTCGCACACAGCAGGATGGACTGAAAACACAGCAACACTGTTAGCTCGACCCAGAGAGGCTGATAGCACAACACCTGAACGTATGTGCAACTCACCTGGCACGTCGATGTCGGTGTGGGTCCGGTGGTGGACGTCCTCCTGTGAGGCCACACAGCGGAATCGGTTGGTTGTGGTTCTGGTGACGGTGGCGAGGAGGGAAACGAAGTAGCGTCCTCCTCTTTCAGAGACCTGGGGCTCCTCAGCAGGACAGACGTTCCCATCGCTGTCCTGCCACTGCAGCGTGGGCTTAGGAGCAGCACCTCCAACCTCACACAGCAGCGGCACCCCGTCCTCCGTGGCGTTCAGGATCACGATGTGAGGCTTTGGAGTGGCGCCTGAGAACACAGAGTAGGGTGAACGTTTTAGCGTTACACACACGACACACTTCACCGTCTGATCAGTGTGTTTCAGCAAGACACAGAACAGAAGAGCAAGACGATGCAGGAGGAGCACACCTTCAGCTTGTTTGAAACTTGCTTTTTAAAATGTGTTTTCTTTTAACAAAGCTAAAAATGTATTATTGAATTTATATATTGATCCAGTAGGTTTAATTTCCCCTCAGCCTCTGTGTGGAAACACTGCCTGCAGGTCACCTGAACACTTTGAATCCTGTGACGTCAGTTTCAGCTGAATCAGTCTCACAGATTCTCTTGTGCTGAGGAGCTCAGATTTGTTGTTTTGTACACGGTTCATTTTTGGCAGTTTGTTTGAACGAGAAATGTCTATTCAAGTCATTCAGTTTATTTAGCATGACTTCAAGCATTTGGTTTGGTTGTTTTCTCCGACAGAACCACACGCCTCTCAGGATGTGTTCCATGTTAGAAATGTATGACTGATACACGGTACAGTTCTGGTGAATTCTGGACTCACCGGGGATGTTTTCAGCTGATCTGTCTTTATGGATGGGGCCTTGAAGGCAAAAATAGAACACAAGTATGTTAGAGTGCTGTGGGTCAGAAACTTCTCAAACTTAACATACACGGAACAACTTAAAACGTGAGACCAGCTTGTTGGATTTAAGTCTGTGGGACGTTTTGTTGCTAGTTTGTGGATTATCTGACTGACTCTGGTGGGTCTGGGTTAGGAATGTAAATGAACAATGGTTTATTGATTAATTGCCATCAATAAAGCAGAAGATGAGGAACATGCTGGTCAGTGAATGTACCACAGACCAGCTGTAGTACCTTGTGATTCCACCAGGTGGAGCCTCTCCCCCACGATTTACTCAGCTGTAGTTGCAGGTGTCAATCATATGGAGTCAACCAATCAGAGTAAAGCCCTCCCCTGACCCCTCATAATCTACTAATTCTTCATGTACAACAACTTTAATTAACTTTTAATTAACTAAAGTTTGATTGGTTCAGACTCTGAGATCCATTTCTCAGCTGTTCTTAAAATCTGCCTGGACTAAAACACAGCAGGAAACATGTCCAGAAGATGATTCTGGTATCACGTGTGTGTAGAAACGGTCCTTCCATTGTCTGGAACCGGTTCTGACCCACCACCACCATCTCACATGCTGACATGAGCCTGGAGCATTTACCCAGAATGCACTTTGTAAAGTTTCCTCTGGTGAATGATCAGAACCAGAACCACATCCAGGGTACCAATGATTGTTTCTATGATTCTGTGTCATAGACATTAAACTGCTACCACTATGAGACATCCCATAATACTGATGCTACCAGCTGATGACAGGTCTTGGTCTGTACTGACATTGGTCCAGATTATCTGATGAGTCTAGATCCAGTCTGAAACCTCCTGAACTGCTATGATGACATCAAACATGCTAAAAAGTCCGGATGGTTTCAGTCGTAACGCGAGCTGAGCAGCTACCTTCTCAACTAACGCTCAGCATTTAAGCCAACTGTAGGTACAGATATTAAAACGTATTGATACAGAAGGAAGACAAGCTGGTTCGACCACGCCTTCCAACCGTTCTCTCAACCAGGCTCGTTTAGCCTCCTGCTTCTGTTTTGTGTCATTCCTCAGCCGCTTTCAGACGGCTGCTGGACCGTAGATGTGTCTCTACACTCTGGTTCAAACAGAAGCTCCCATCGTGGCTGATTAGCACCGGTTAGTAAGCAAGCAAGCAGAAAGTCGGAGTTACAGTCATGTTGGTTAGTCAAGGTCACACAGAGCCCCTATTTTCCACCTACCCACTTTAAAAACTATAATCTACCTTCTCATCAGGGTGTGTGCTGCCTGGTGAGACGTTAGCTTAGCACAAGGTGTAGGTCACCTGTTGTGAGAGCTGAAGCAGAACAGAAAGCAGCGGCAGTAAGCTCAGAGCTGGAAGACGCCTTTCAGGCAGGAACTAGGACGACTTCTTACGATACCGACAAACTTGAAAAAGAAATAGAAGGTTAAAGCGAGACAAGGCAAATATGACATTTGTGTTAGTTCCATATCATGCACGTTTCTACACTGCTCTAGGACCGTCACTTTTTTAATCCTATAAAGTGCACTCAAGTACACTGTAAAAAAAAAACAAAAGAAAAGAAAGAAATAGTGAAAATCTGGCAGCACATTACACACCTGTGGAATACTGTAATGTGCAGAATGGTGAGACCAGCAGCAAATATTTAATTTTAGCATCCTGTAGAAAACCATCCTTCTACTCTTAACATACTTTTGTTTTCAAAAAAACGGAAATGCTGTGAAACAGCAACGTTTCTAGCTATTTAAATACAGTAAAAGTGTGTAATTTCATGATCATATGTTGTGAAAGAACAAAGGAGTAGTTATAAATATATAGATTTTTGTTGGAGACATTTACAGTTTAGAGCTTTTAATTTTTTTACAGTCAACATGTAAATTAATACTTTTTTCTGTGACTTAGATATTATCTGGAATTTAACAAAACTGGGATTTTTTTGTAAACTACCAGTATTTATTCCCTAATATGTAGAATTTCTCTTTCAAATACCAACAGATATAATAATATTAACAATAATATTTTTTGCTTATTTAAATAAAGTAAAAATGTTGTAATTTTGTGGTCAAACGAATTATCATTTGTAAAAACACCCGTTTTTGATGTGAATGTCATTTAGAATTTGGTTTGTTTAGGGTCCATATGTGAATGAATAACTTTCCGTGGTTTCAGTTGTTATTATGTGTAAATTAACAAAAGTAAGAAAATCTGCAAAATAACAGTAAATTGTTTTTTAAAAATTGCGGTAAAAATCTGTTTGTTTTTTTAAAATTCTAGTATTTTTGTTTTACAGTGTACAATGTGTCCTGTTAGCGTCTCGACTGATTTTAGTTTCAGAGTAAAACTGAACATTTCAGATGAAATTCTCAGTTTTCAATTATTTACTCAAGTTTCTTTGTGAAAACACTCACGGACAACCAGCTCAACGTCGAATCTTCTATGAGGCTCAAAATCAGGAAAAATGCAGGTGTAGTTCCCGCTGTCGGCCAGGACAGTGTTTCTAATCACGATGGAGGCGTTCCCGTTCTTCAGCTCCTCTGGAAAATGAGAGACTCGACCTCTGAACTGCTCATCTTGGCCGGTTATGCCCTTGTTGTAATGAACGCCACGAGCATACAGGAAGACCTCCTGATCAGTTTTCTTCCAGTCAAAGACCATTTTCTCAATGCTGTCGTCGTTGCCGAGGGAACAGAGTAGGGTGACATCACTTCCTTCTTCCACAATAAATCTGTGGACTGCTGGACATGGAAGACAAACAGGAAATAAACAGCATGTTAAACAACAAAAAAATAGACTTTTAAAAACCTCTGAAACACCAAAACATCTATAGAAATATCTTCATGATATTTATCTGGTGTCAGAACTCAACTAATCCAAGGATCCCCTGTGAGCACGCTTGAGAGAGAAGATGCTGAGCTTTGGTGATCGTTTAAGTTCATCTGTTGGCATCAGAAACTTAAGACATTGTTAGAAATACTTTAAATTCAGTGTTTATTTATGATTTCAGTCCATAAAATGTGTTGTTGTTGTTTATTTTACTACTTGACAGTTACTTTTGTCTGCTGTGAAAACCAACCAACGGAATATGACAGAAAAATATCGAGACTTTAAGAAAGGGGTCAAACTTTGGAGTAAAATAATATCAAGTGTGGCTGAGCTCAGGATCCATCTGTAAGACGAATGCTGACTCTGCAGCTGGTCAGCTGTGGCTGTGTGAGAGCAGCTGGTTACCATGGAGACGCTCATAGCGATCCTCTCTGGCAGTCTGCCTCCTTCAAGTCATCACACACACAGCTGAGACCCACCCACGTCCAGGCGCGCAGACTGCGCATGTGCCACAGAACAGAAGAAGAGAAGTTCGAGAAGACTTTCCGCGAGCCACTCCTTCAGAATCCACACGAACTGGATTCTAACTAAAGCAGTCTGGACTTCGGAGGAGCTTTGATTTATTCGCGACTTCATCGATGGAGCCCAAACACAGCCGGAAGTCCTCGGTTCTCTATAAACCCAGAGCTGGGTCACACACCTCAGGAACCGGTCCCGACGCGGAGCTTCGGTCCATCTGCTGTCTGTGTTCGACATGACGGGAAACGAAACGGGCCGTGTAGCAGATATGTGAGTATGAAC